TCTTTAGAGCATCTAATCTAAACTTCACCCCCCTTGTCCTCTCACTATTTCTCTGTGTAAAAGTATGGCAGGTGCCCCAGGGTGAGAGGCAGGCCCAGCTCTAACACCCACACAACACACACTGTGCAAACCTGCCACCAGCTCATGCACCAGTGACACACATTTGGTTCCCTTCCCCACTTGCCATCTCCCAGCAGCAACAGCCCAGCTGCCACCTCTGCCAAGGGAGAGCAAAGTCCCTGTCCACCTGGTGAGAGAGTGCCCAAGTGGCTCCTGCAGTCCCTTTCCCTGGGTGGGCTGCAGCCACAGGGACCTCTTCCCTTAGAATCACAGAATCATAGAATGGTTTGGGTTGGAAGGGACCTTAAAGATCATCCAGTTCCACCCTGTGCCATGGGCAGGGACACCTTCCACTAGCCCAGGTGGCTCTCCACCCAGAGCAGTGTGTGCACATGGCTCAGGTGTACCCAGGTTAAGTTCTTCCAAGCTCCTAGTAAATCCAAGGTCCTCAGGAAATGACCAAACAAACTGCTTTGAGGCAGACTTTGTCCCCACAGCCCAGCTGGCCACCTAGAAGCTCAGGATTAATTGTAAGCCCAGCAAAATACTAGGAAAGCCAAAAATAAACACAGCAAAAGAAAAGCATTTCCCACTGAAAAGTCATGGCCAAGTAAAGGCTCCTCTGAGCTGGCTCCCCCGAGGCAGCTCAGATTCATTTATCGTGCCACTCGTATAAATGTCTCTCTTTGGCTGTGCTGCTCCCTGGGAGCTCCTTCCAGCCTGGGAGAGAATGGGACTATCACTGGGACACAACCTGGGCCAGCACTGTGCTCAGGCAGCAGCAGCATCCCCAGCCCCTCCCAGAGCCTCTCCCCAGGGCTCAGGACCACCCTGCCTGCACACAGCACAGGCTGCAGCCTCAGGAACTCGGGAGTAGCGCTGGCTGACTTGGGGATGAGATTTAAACAACCACTGTCTGATTTCTAGACACTGCCTTGCCCCCAGAGCATGGACAGTGCCTCAGCAGCAGCTGACACAACTGTGTCATGGTAGAACTGCCAAAAAGACTGGGAGAAATGGCTCCTCAGTGCTGTGGGTAACATCAAACCCAGAGATGTCGCCTTTCCCAGGCTTAAGATCAAGGCACAGCCCCTCAGCCAGGCTCTGGCTCCAAGACCAGCTGAGGTCTCGTCTCATCTCACTTCACCACATGATGTCAGAAATCCAGGCTTAAAACTGACCCCTCAAGGCCTGCAAAAGCTGATACCCCCCCACACCACAATGCCCAGGCAGGCTGGGGATGGCAGAATCCCTTTGCTGTCTCACCCAGAAGACCTAAAATCCATTTTGTGGGTTGAAATGGAACCAGCCAAGGGAGGGACTCAGCAGCTGTTGTTCTGGACAGAGGAGCAGAGCTGGGGGGAGCAGTGCAGCCCAGCCCAGGCAGCTTCCCAGGGGCTTCCTGCTGTTGGGGCTCCCCCATCCCTAGAAGTGTCCAAGGCCAGGCTGGACAGGGCTTGGAGCAAGCTGGGATAGTGGAAAGTGTCCCTGCCCATGGCAGAGGGTGGAATGAGACGAGCTGAAAGCTCCGTTCCAACCCAAACCATTCTGTGATTCCTGCACTGCCCTGCACTCCAACCTGGCTGGCACAAGAGCAGGGAACATCCCACACCACAGGGAATGGCAGTACCAGCACAGTCCCTTCTCACCCTGAACCCCAGACTGGTTGTGCTGCTGGTCTCTGCCAACCTTACCATGCTCCCAAAGGTGAAAGTCAAGGCTGCTGTGAGTCACCAGGGGTCAGGCCATGCCCTCCTGCCTGCAGCTCCCAGCTCTGCTGAGGTGACCAGGGACAGCGAGGCAACACTGCAGCAAACAGGCTCCTCTCCAGCTCCAGCCCAGGGACATCACTGCCCGGGGCTCAGGGGACAGCCTAGCTCAGCCTGTCCCCACTGCTGCTCCCTGTCCTGCCCCACATCTGGCAGCAGCTGCTGTCCCAGCCCGTGGCTGGAGGTGGATGGAGAGCCAGACAGCTCCTCATGGCAGAGCAGTTCCCACCACCCATCCCTGTGCATCCCTCTTGGTTAATGCCACCAAGAGCTGCTGTAATTACCATTATTAATCCCCCCTCCCTCAGGACACATTAGCTGCAAATTGAGGGATGGAGAGAAGTCCCTGGACTTCATAAATCAACTTGTGACAAAGAACCAATGTCTGCACTTCAGTGTGTGCCAGACTCAGCCCCAGAGTGTGCCCAGTGCCTACCGGTGCCTCCCCTCCACTCCTTCCTGGCCATCCCACTGCATCCCCCCCCTACAGTCCTGCTCACTGAAGCAGATCCTTGTTAGCCAGGGTCAAGGGACTTGGCTGCTCTCAATTACCACCACTTTTGCCCAAACCGAGCCAAAGGTTGACTGCTCAGGCACCCAGAAATGGAAAAAAATGTGCCCCGAATGCAGCTGGCACAATGCACATGGAAGTCACTGGGGGGGTGTGTTTGGGGTTGGATCTCTCCAGGCAGGCACACTGGTTTAAGGACTGTGTGAATTCAAACCAGGTCTCTTAGGCAAAGGCAAACCTCAGCTAGTTCCATCTTTACATGAGTTAAAGTCAGTCTAGATGAACATGAGTGGGGACAGAATTAAACAAATCAATTAAACTAAACCAGCATGAAGCTGTGTCAGGGCAGGGTTAGGTTGTATATAAGGATAAAGTCCTTCCCCCAGAGGGTGGTTGGCACTGACCAGGCTCCCCAGGGCAGTGGGCACAGCCCCAAGGCTGCCAGAGCTCCAGGAGGGTTTGGACAACGCTCTGAGAGACAGGGTGGGATTGTTGGGGTGTCTGTGCAGGGCCAGGGTTTGGACTGGATGATCCTTGTGGGTCCCTTCCAGCTCAGGATATTCTGTGATTCTCTGAAACCTGTGATACCAGTGGACCCAAAGCAACTGTCCTTCATGGTGGCCAAAGTCCCCATGGAGGTCCCAGCCTGTTGTTGGCAGGAGAGCCAGAGGAGTTGTCCCACCAGACATAAACTGCCAAATCTCTGTCAGCTCTGGGATGCTAAAGACCCTCCTCCAGCCCCCAGAAGCCACTTCCAAAGCAATTCCTGTCTGAGTGCACCCCACAGCTGTAAATGCAGATATTCAGGGCTGCAGGTTCTCTCAAGTGCAGGAAATGCCACACTCCTGGACACCCAGAGCTGTGCCAACACTGACAGCAAACATGGTCTGAAATAAGAGGAGGGAAGACACGGCTGGCTGGAAACCTGCTGCTTGCTGCAGAAAGGCTGCTGACCTTGCAGGGGACAGTGCCTGGTGACACAGCCACTGAGGCTTCACTTCACCTGAGACAAACCACATCCAAGGGCCCTTCAGCCCAGGCCAGGGTGTTCCTGTGCAGCACAGAGAGCTGAGCAGTGACTCCCAGCCTGCATCACATCACCCACCCCACCAACGGGCTGCTGTCAAATCCTGGGGTTACTGTAAAACATTCCCGGCACAGCGACTCCAGCCTGTTCTCCAAAGGGAAAGGGACAGACAGCCCTCTAGTGTAAAGCCAATGCTAACCATATTTGCACAGGTATGGAAAGCATTAATCACGGCCAGATCTGTGCTGGGGGGGTGTGCTTGGGAAGGAACCCGTGCCCAGGGACAGGGATTTGCTCCCACCACACCTCCCACTGCCCCTCAAAACACGCCGATGCCGCGGGGATGTGCAATCACAGAATCATGGAATGGTTTGGGTTGGAATGAACCTTAAAGCCCATCCAGTGCCACCCCCTGCCATGGGCAGGGACACCTTCCACCAGCCCAGGTTGCTCCAAGCCCTGTCCAACCTGGCCTTGGACACTTGCAGGGATCCAGGGGCAGCCACAGCTGCTCTGGGCAACCTGGGCCAGGGCCTCCCCACCCTCACAGGGAAGAATCCCTTCCCCATATCCCATCTATCCCTGCCCTCTGGTAGTGGGAAGCCATTCCCCCTTGTCCTGGCACTCCAGGCCCTTGTAGTGCAAGTCCATGTGTGTGTCCAAAGGGTCCCAGTGGCTTTCAGGTGACCATTTTTCTCTGCAGAGACAAACCCCACGTTCACAAACTCAGTATTTGCTCTTAGGATTTCCAAAGACAACTCTGGTCAGGGGAGGGTGTGGAGCCTTCACAGCCTGACACCAGCACTAACAAAAGGCTTCTGAAGCCTCAATTTGCTTGGTAGCTGAAGGCACATCCCTGACAAAGCCCCCCATGGTGCCTGGAAGCAGGGAAAACTGAATTTGGGGCCGCCAGAGGTATTTTCCTTTCTTTTCCCCCCTCCCTTCTGCTTAAGAGTCAGGCTGAGTTCCCATCTCCCTGCACATGGCTGTATTATGCACATGGTTATTGTCCGTGGCTCCATCATCACTCACAGCCTTAAGAAAGATGCACAATTAAAATCAATATTTAAAGTCATCAAACAAGCACATGCAAATTTTACCAGGCACACAATTCACTTTGACAGAACGACACAGGGTGCAGAGCCCAGAGCTGTGCTGGAGTGCCCAGAGCAGAGTTCTGCCCACAGTCTTCAAAATTTAATGAAAACACACCAGTTTTAAACACTTTCCCAAATCCAGCTCACAAAATCTGTCACTTTGATGTGAATGGTCCCAGTCTTAGACTAATCAGTCACTTTTACTTCCTCTTTAGGAGCTAAAGACGCAAATGAACTCCCAGCAAACTGCACAGCTTCAGGAGAAGAATTTAGCAACCAGATGGTTCTTGCAAAGGATTGGTTTTTAACAAAAAAATAAAATTTAACCCATCTCCCCAGTGAGCAGCTCACAGGATATGATCTGACACATCACAAGCAATTCTGAACTGTTGTATCAGAACATCATTTCTGCTGTGGAAATGCCCCTTAAATCATCATGTAAATTATAATTATCACTAATAACTGATCAATTAGTACAAGTCCACGCAAGGCACTGTAATTATCCTGTGCACTGAGGAAGAAGAGAAAGCATCACATTTGAATGCAAACAGTCCTTTGTTTTCAGGGAAGGTGCAGCACAGAGAGATAAAAGAAAGCACAACTGCTGAGAAGGCACCAGGGCTCAAAGAGCCATCTGAGGGAACGTGTCCAGCTCCCACGGGATGGAGCAAAGCTGTGACAGGCTGGAAACTCCCATCCAGGCAATGAACCTCAGGCTGCTGCTGTAGATACATTTGCTTTCTCTGGACTGTTTTCATCTCCATGTGGAATTGTGGCTGTGGATGGGGATCAAAGAAAAGCTAACAATAAAGACTCTCCAGACCTTCATGGATTAAGTACAGAAATGCTGGACAAGAAAGTTTTTCTGAGTCAGCTCCAGAAGCAAACAGCAAAACAAGCATCATTGGGCAAAAGGACTTTGATCCCCTCTGGATTGTTGCCATGAAATTTTGATGCTGAAAAAATCTCCAGAGCAGTTAATTAGGGGTGAGATAAGAAAGGGTTTATTTGCCAAGGCAAAGATGTTACAAGATGTGCGCAGGCCGTGCCTGAGATGTTACATTTTATAACACCATCCATCCAATCCCAGATGTGTCCACACTGTGGCCTTTACTCTGGTCCGCCCCGGGTCCACCCCCTGAGAAATGGGTCTGGGGGTTTTGGGTCCCCGTGTTCATCCCACCTTCCTCTTCATCAGAGCACAAAGGTACATAGTTACCTAATTCTTGACTGTGTTCTGTGGTTTAGGCCCTGATATGCTGTTCTGCCAACAATCTAGGCCTTGCCTTGACAAAAGACTAAACATTTCCGCTGTATTCAGGGGTAGGATCGATATAGGGAGCATAGAATGGGGTACGAGGGTTAAGGAATGTGTAAACAAGGGTGCTAGAGAAAGGGAAAGGGACAAGGGACAAAGGAGGGGGGGAGGTTGCTGCTTTTAAAATCTAAAATCTACTTCCACTACTTATAAAACTTACAAGTCTTACAAATATTAGAAAAATAAAAAAAACATTAGGGGCTTAAGGCATCAGGATGCTGATGGTGGAAGGAAGAAAGGAGGCCATGTGAAGCACTGCCTTGTCCTTGGCTGTCTGGATGGAACTCTGGCAGCAGCACAGGTGATTTGGAGAAGAGAAGTGCAGGATGGGAACCCTGGACTTCCCTGGACTTCTCCAAATGGTTCTGACCCACTGCTAAATAACACTTCAGTACACAAGGAACCAAATCATGTGCAGTTTGGTATCATTTACCTAAATGTCTGAGCTTTCTAAAGGAGTGAAAGTGGAACAGTATTAAGAGGTAATATTATTATTAATGGTACAAGAAGTGCAGGAACTTCCATACCTGGGGCAGAATAGTCCTCTGCAGCCAAACCAGCCTGTAAAGTGTGAGCAGTTTGGTGTGAAGGGCCTGGGAGCTATGGTGGGACCAAGGTGAACATGAGCAAATGGTTGCTCCTAAATATGGGAACTCCACCCTGGGCTGTGTAAAGAGTGTGGGCAGTGGGGTGGGACAGTCACTGCCCAGCTCCACTCAGGGCTGGGGGGCTGCACCTCCAATACTGTCCAGCTGGGATTTCCTGAGTCCAAAATTAACTTGGGGAAAACAAAAAGTTCCAATGGAGGATGAGCTCGGTCAGAGAATCACAGAATCATTTAGGTCGGAAAAGCCCTCTGGGATCATCCAGTCCAACCTTTCCCCCAGCAGCACCACCACGTTCACCACCAAACTGTGTCAAGTGCCACATCCACACACTTTTGGAGCACTTCCAGGGATGGGGATTCCACCACTGCCCAGGTCAAACTGTTCCAGTGCCTGACCACCATTTCAGTGAAGAAATTTCTCCCGATATCCAACCTGACCCTCCCCTCGTGCAACTTGAGGCCATTCCCTCCCCTCCTGTCCCTTGTCCCCTGGGAAAACAGACTGACACTCAGCTCACTGCACCCTCCTGTCAGGGGGTTGCAGAGCCAGAAGGTCCCCCCTGAGCCTCCTTTGCTCCAGGCTGAGCCCCCCCAGCTCCCTCAGCCCCTCCTGCTGCTCCAGCCCCTTCCCAGCTCCGTTCCCTTCCCTGCACACGCTCCAGCCCCTCAGTGTCTCTTGTCTGAGGGGCCCAGAAGTGCCCCCAGGGCTGGAGGTGCCCCAGCAGTGCCAGCACAGGGACGGGCCCTGCCCTGGGGCTGGGACACACCGGGGCTGGCACAGCCCAGGATGACCATGGATGGTCAGAAGCCTCCAATGTGTCACAGAACCATGGAATCACTACATCCCAGAATAGTTTGGGTTGGAAGGAACCTCAAAGCTCCACTCATTCCTCCCCTTGCCATGGGCAGGGACACCTTCCACTGTCCCAGGTTGCTCCAAGCCCGTCCAACCTGGCCTTGGACACTTCCAGGGATCCAGGGGCAGCCACAGCTGCTCTGGGCAACCTGTGCCAGGGCCTCCCCACCCTCACAGCCAAGAATTTCTTCCCAGTATGTGTCCTAATGTGTCCTCAAAGGTAAGACAGAGGGGCTTAGGATGGTTAGGTCTGGCAAAGAGGAGGCAGAGGGTGATCTAATCACTGCCTACAGCTACTCAAAGGCAGTTGTGAGTATGACAGAGCCCAACATACCTCTGTGAGGCCACATGACACAGCAAAGGGACACGGCCAAGAACTGCAGCTTGGGAGGGTCATTTCAGACATAATAAAAGGCTTTTTAATCAGCTGCAATAGTGGGAAAAGCCAGCGAGGCTCCATCATTGGAAGTTTCCAAAGCTTGGATAGAGAAATCCACAGCAGACCTGATCCCATGTGCAACAGCCCTGCTCTGGACCCTTCCCACCAGGATTCTGGGATTTGGCCATGCTAAAGTGTGTCCTCAGAGAGATCTCTGCCACTGCACCATGTCAGGACAGGCTGCCAGCACAGGGTGCATTTGAGGACTAAAGAGCTCCAGGGAAACTGTGCTGTAATTACCATTGATGTGGGACACTGCTGGGGGAGCTCTAACAGGACACAGAAAATATGGCCAGGGGCTTTATCCCCCAGTGCAGTCAGCAAAGCAAACCCAAAACAAGTGTCTGGAAGTGTCTGCTGCCTTCCTGAGTGTCCCTGCCAAGGTCCCTGACTGTGACCCCCACCCCCATGTCCTCCTTGATACCTCCCCCAGCACCAGCTCCTGAATTCCCAGGAAGTGAGTTCACCTACTCCCATGGAGGGTGGACCCAGCACTGCTGCTCCCCTACTGCCATGCCCAGGGAGAGACCAGAGGTACCCCCACCATCCCAAAGGGACATGGGCCCTCCCGGTGCTGACCCAGGCCTCGGAAAGACATCCATCCTTGGCAGGACAAGCCCATGAGCAACCAGAACTGGCTTTGCAATTACATTTGCTTTGAGCAAGAGGTTCCTTAGATCCCTGAAGATGTACTCTCCAGATGTACTTCAGGTGTATCCAGATGATACCTCCAAACCATTCTATGAAAGCAAATGTTCTGTAACCCTGCCTTGCCTGACCCACACAGAGAGGACCCAACACTGCTGACTGTCTGCTGCTTGAGAGTCTGAGCAGGGTGATGCCTCAAACTACTGAGCTCTCAAGAAACTGAACCAAAAATCACAGCATTGGAGTGCTTTCTTGCTTCCAACTTCCTCAATGTCTTGCATGTGCTTATGTAGTGCTTCTGCTTTTCTTGGCAATCAGGAAGGATAAAAAAAACCTCAAGCACTTTTCTAATCCCCTGATTCCAGGAGCAGAGACTTGAGAGGGGCAATAAATACTATAAAACCTGCTGGTGCTATTGATCAGTTCCAGTGTGAAGGCTGGGAGAAAGGCAGGCCAGCCCAAAGAGACAAACCTGCTGTGGGTGCAGCAACAGCTCAAAGGAGAACATCATCAGTCTTGTTACCTGACCCTGTGTCACTGCTGAAGAAGTGATCAGTGATTGCACAGACCTCCACGTTTCAGCTCTGGGCTGAATTTAAGCATATTCTGGGTCCCTGGGGAGATAACTCAGCATCAGTCTCTGAGGGCTTGAGCTGGAAAAGCTGAAACCATATCACAGAAAGGCTCATTGACCTGGTCAAGGGTACAGAGAGGTTAGAAACAGGGCCAAGACCAGACTCCAGAGGCCCTGACTTCTGGGAGCTCTCTAAAAGCCAAGTAAACATGAACAGTCCGTGCCACACCACTTGCAGATGTGTCCTGCCTTTCCCAGGCAGGGCCTGGCCATGCACACACACCACGGGAGTCTCTGTGGCACCCGGCTGCCAATCTGCTCTGAGCCTACACATCCCAGCTGAACACCACCACAGTGGGGAATCAGCCACCCAAACCTCCCATTGCTGTGTGTCCCACCAGCCTCAATGAGACCCTCGTGCAGGCTGAGGTGAGTCTGCACATTTTAGCAAACTCTGCACGAATTGCTTCGGCATCTCTGCGCAAACACAGGAGGATCCACCCTCTGCTTCTTTTAGCTGATTAAGACTTTTCAGTACAATTGTCCCCTTTTCCCTCAGTATGTGGAAACCTCCAGGAGTTGCAACCACAGCAGGAAAGGGGAGGAGAGGCTGGGCTTTGTAGATCACAAGCCTCACTCCTCCCTCCCACACCTCTGTGTGTGTGTGATGGAGAAGCCCTGAAACCCTGTTACTCACAAATCCCAGACAGCCCCATCTGGCTTTAGGACACAGCACAGAGCTTTCCACGTGGATAGGAGAAGCCTCAGTGCGACTCCCAGCCCTTGCAGACACGATGCTGAGATGTTCCCTTTTACACCTCTGTGCAGTGGTGCAGGATACTCCTATTCCACTGTGTCCATGCCTTCTGCATAAAGAGAAAACCTCTTCAGGAACATCAAAAGAGGAGCTTGGCACTCAGAGATTTGTCTTAATGAAGGTGACAGCAGCAGAAAGCATTGCAAATCCAAGGGGAAGAGGACACACACCTAATTAGACCGACTCCTTTCTTCTTCCTCCTGTTCCACAGGCTGAATCCTGGGGCTGCAGCTCCAGCCTTTCCACAGGGATGGACTCGGCAGCACAGCAGGGCTGAGCTGCCTGAGCCACTGGCACAGCAGCCATGTGCAGGCTCAGAGCAGAGATTAGAGCTCATTTTCCTTGTCGAGGCTCTGGCTCAACTGATTTTCCCTCTCCTTCCCCCTCTCCCACAAGGCCCAGGAGGATGGGAAGGGAAGGAAGACACAGCCCTTTCCAGAGCAGGCACCACTCCCCACAGCAGCATCTCTGTGCCTGAGAGCTGTCCTCCAGAGCATCCCTGCCCCTCCCAGCCCCCAGCTCACAGTCTCCTTGCTGCTTCCGAGCTGAAAAAGGTAGAAAATTCCCATATGTGCTGCTGGATTTTGCAGATTTTGCTTAATCCTTTGGAAGTTTAATGGCCAAAGTCATCGTTGGTGTCAGAAGAAGATCACACAGCACAGGGTCTGCGTTAGTAGCCCCTGACTGGTACAGGGTTATCAAGAAATCCGTGGGGATATTAGCTGGGGACCCCCATGTCCCTTGCCAGCTTCCAACTCCACAGTGAGCCACCAGGATGAGTGTATGGAGCAATTCCCCTGCCCCCTCATTCCAAGCCGAGCGGGGAGCATGTGAAAGCAGAGGGACACTCGTTGTGTAGTAAACTGTCCCCTTCCTCCTCTTGCTCCTTCCCACCACTCCTGTGGATGGCTCCCAGGAGGTTTTCCCCAAGCAGATCCCAGAGCACCTGAGCACGGGATGGAGGTAATTAATGAGGGCCCTGATTTGGTAAGCCAGAGTGGAACAGGGTCCCTATGCCAGTGGAGCAGGAGCAGCCCCAGCATGTGCTGTCCACAACCCCCAGCACAGAGACACCGTGGCGCTTTCTCACCATCTCATTAACTCACTCTCTGGACCAGCTTTGTCTGGGAAAACATCACACAACCAGCAGGGACACAATGACACCTGCACTGACACAATGCCCAGACACCGAGCGGTGCAACGGCACCTCCACCCTTTTGCCCTAAAATTTCTCTTTAAGGATATTCCTTTTCAGAAAACCTGTCCAAACACCCTTCGATGGTCCCTGATAGTGCCACAGAATATAGGTCTGAGGTCTGTGCTGCCTGGTGGGGAAGGGGGAATCAAGCCCAGAAAATGCAGCAGCCTCTTGATAAAAAATGAAGATTGTAAAGACAGGAAATATAAAAATTATATGATAAATTTTTTTTCTCTCAAGAAAAAAAAAAGAGTTGCTCTCACATGAGTGAAAAAGGAGTCTCTTATGTTGATGTTGGTTCTCATATTACAGGGTTTTGCATTTGTTTAAAAAAAAGAATAAGCATGGAAAGCCCTTTTTCAATATAAATGAATCGTGTTAATAAGGCAGCAAGTGCTGAGAACAGGGAAAGCTCTGCCTGTCCAACTGCCCCTGGTGGCTATTTCTGGCTTACAAGGCACTTGAAGCATCCTGGCAGCCCACAGTGGGAAATGTAGTCCAGATACAGTAGGATGGTCACTCAGCTAAACATAATCTCCCAAGGTTCATAAGGACTTTCCAGTCAAACCTGCCAGCAATCCAGGCTACCCGGCCTCTCACAGGAGCAATTCATAAACCACAGGAAAAAAGGGAATAATTCAAACCCAAACCCCTCAAAGCCTTGTTCTATAAATAAAGCCGCTGTAACACAGTTTTTATATTTCATTATCCTCTGTGTTGTTCCACATTATGCTGGTAGCAGCCGGGAATGTCACTGTGCGGAGAAGTGTTGTG